ACAAGTGGGCCGAGGAGGCGACAAGGTTGGATCAGTTCAAGTTGGAAGAATGGGACCTGCTGTACTCCCAGGCGTGCACCATACCCCAGAACCCCCAACCGAGCTGTCACCAACCAGACCCCGAAGGACTCTGTGCGAGGGCCAAGGGCCTTGTTCGCAAGGCAAATCTGTCGAAAGCAGTAGCAGCGTTACATACGTCGCCACTCACCGAACCTTCCCAGGCAACCCTGGAAGCACTAAAGCAGAAGCACCCAGAGGCGGGCAACGAAATCCCTAACTGGGTAACAGGTTTCTCCACGAGCAACCTAGCGATCTCAGCGGAGGCCTTTCGCGAGGTTCTGGCAAAATGCCCCAACGGGTTTGGAGCGGGACCCTCAGGCACTTGTTTTGAGCACCTACAAGATGCGGCCCTCATTAACAATGAAGTATTCAGCTACCTACACGGCACCGTCAACCACGTCCTAGGAAACCACCTACTGGCAGATCTGACGGAACTCCTGCTACCGTCACGGCTGATAGCCCTCGAAAAGCCAAACGGTGGAGTTAGACCCATAGCAATAGGAGAGGCGATACTACGCCTCATAGCTAAGGTAGCGCTAAGAAAGTCGAGCGCGCCCATCCGAGAGTACTTCCTACCGGTACAATTTGGAGTGGCAGTGCCTGGAGGAGCGGAGTGCATCATCCACACAGTCCGGGCCCTTCTAGCTGAGGATCCGAAACGGGTGGCGCTGCAGCCGACGTCGAAAATGCATTTAACTCAGTCAAACGAGGAGGGTTCTTCGAGTCCCTGCACTTCTCAGGCCTCAGCCGCATCATCCCGCTGGTGCGAACAGTATACGGCACGCCATCTCACATTCTGCTGGACCAAGGCTTCGCGGCGCCACACATCGACAGCGCGCATGGGGTCCGCCAAGGAGACCCCTTAGGCCCCATGCTCTTCGTGGCAGCCATCCAACCAGCGCTCTAGGTGGCAGCCGACATGCTCCCCTCGGTCATGGTCATGGCCTACGCCGACGACATCACCATCGTGGGAGCAGCACCAGAAGCCGCACTAGCACTAGGGTTAATAACGAGGGGACTAGCAAGCCGCGGCATCCAGTGTAACCTCTCAAAATCATCGGCATGGAGCCCATCCGGCATACCCGACGACCTTCCCGACGGACTAGTGGCGGCAGTGGACGGCATACGAGTATTGGGGAGCCCGATAGGGACCAGGGACAACGGACGACGCATGATCACAACGTACCTGGAAACGGTGGCGGCACCGCTGAACCTGATCGGCAACATGCACCCGCAGCACGCGCTACTATTACTCACACGATGCATTTCGAGGCGCATATCGTACCTGCTCCGCACAACACCGGCGGATTTGCTGCCCCTAGAAGAATGGCAGGATTGGAGCGAGGGTCTAGTCTGGACGGCCCTACAGGCAGCACACCTCCACGTGCCAAGGAAGGAGATCGAGCAGAGCCTGGTATGGAGGCAAGCGACTCTGCCGGTGTGCCTGGGCGGGCTGGGCCTGATCGATCCCGTATCAGAGGCGCCGGCGGCATACTTGGCTTCACTGGACGCAGCCCACACCCTACTCAGTGACATCCCCGAGCACCCAGATCACCCACTGCGGCGGGCTGCAGGACTGGTGTCAACGGTAGCCACAGCAAGGGCAGGACGGGAGGGGGAGACCGTGCAAGAACTCAAGGGCAAGTTGCCAGAGAGCGCTCTGGAACTCCTACACGAGCATCACCGCCAGCAGGGGAGGAAGGGGCGACTGCAGCTAGAGCTATCACGACAGGTCAACCTAGACAGAGCAGCGGCACTGATAGGAGATACCAGGGTGGACAAGCCAGGAACAGATAATGGGCACGTGGTGCGGCTCATAGCCCTGCAGGTGCCGGGGGCGGGGGACTGGCTACACGCCATCCCTATGCGAGCAGACCTGACCTTCTCACCGGGGCAATTTGGCATATCCCTCGGCTTCATGCTCGGTCTTACACTGCCGGTCACAGAACACTGCCCCTGCCGCGGCAAGCGCTCGAAGATAGCAGATAGCAGCCTCCCTAATCACCAGCTGAGATGCGCAAATGGAGGGGACCGTACCAACACCCACAATGCGTTGGTGTACGCGGCCCTGCGCATGGCACGAGAGGCAGACTTCAACACCCTACACGAGACGACCGGCTTTTCGCCCCCTGTCAACCCTAAACGGGCGGACCTGGTCTTTCGTGACAAGGAATCGGGTGAAACCTACGTGACGGACGTGACAGTGACCGACCCAGTGCTTCAAAGGTGGGACACCCGAGGCAGAAAGGCACCAGGGTGGGCAGAAGAGGATGCGGCCAGGACCAAAAGGGGGCTCTATGAGGAGCGCCCCGAGTATGCGGGGGTCCTCGGGCTAGCAGTGGAAACATACGGGGGCTTAGCAAGGGACACCCAGAAATTCTTCCGTATTCTGGGCATGAGCGCGGCCAAGAAGAAGCACCGCCAAGGGAGGCTGACCACGGTGGCCTCTAGGCTGACTGCGAACTACCGACAGCGCTGGTCGGTGATGCTGTAGCGTTGCCAAGCCAATGCCATGTTGGCAAAGTCCAACAGGGCGGCAGAGGCAGCATACCCTTGGGTATGGGCCGATCCTTGGGAGCCCGGCCTGGGGGACCTATGGCAGGTCCTGGAGGATGAGGTGGAGGAGGAGTGGGACCTAGGGATATAGAGGGAAAATAACCGCCGATATTTTCACAGACCCGACAGTAGAAGGCGTCTACGGATTCCACGCTAGCTACTGCCAGGCCACGCTTTTCATAGATTCACTGGCCCCTGAAGGAGACGACATACTTTTGATGGCCAGAAACCACATGCTATTGCCACGCGATGTCAGCACACCTTTTTATGTGTGGCTCTCCGAATGTGAATTGTATCTGCCCACCGACGGCGGTGAGGTGCTGGAGAAGGAGCAACTAGAGCCGATACTGGCATTCAAGGTACAAGGGAGCAGATACGCGGTCCAAATAAGGGAAACAAGGTGCATGCGACTGAATCCGCTTTCCGGGCACACGCAGCGGATGTTCTCCCTCACTGGCTACGGCACTGGTGACTGGTTGACTGCCATTCCAATAGCAACTATGCGTCGTATTGACCCCATACACTTCGCAAACGCGGTGCGCTTCAGGCTAGGCCTCCCTTTCTCAACGCCCAAGAACTGCGATTGCACGAAGCACACCGCCATCACTGAACCGCGCCTTCCCAATCACCTGTTCAGATGCGGGACGAGCAAGCATCGCATCAACACCCATAACGAGCTCCGTGATGCTTGCATCAGCATGGCTGAGGACGCTGGGTTCATAGTACACGGGGAAACAGCGGAGTACTGCCCGGTTGACGAGCAAACTGCCGATTTTACCATGAGGGATAGAAGCAGCGGCGCGGTGTATGTGTGCGACGTTACCGTTAGCGACTCCATCAGTACTAGGGACCCAGAGGTGCTAAAAGGAAGAGGATGGGCGGCATGGGAGCAGGCTAACAAGAAGCTCAAGCACTATGCTAACCTACCGGACACGGTGCGCTTCTTCCCCCTAGCGGTCGAGACATATGGCTGCCTGTGTGCGGAGGTTCTTGTTTTTCTGAAACTACTAGCAGACACAGCAGCTCGGCGACACTTCAATGCGGACTCACAATCATTTCACGCTGCTAAGTTCTTGCATCAGTTTCGGGAAAGGTGGTCAGTTGCCCTGCAGAGGGCTCAATCCGTCGGCTACCTTATCAAGTCTTGTGAGGCTGCTGCAGCAGAAAACCCGCCCGTGGGTGGAACAGGGGCAGAATTTCGTTTGAGCAGAATTTCGTTTGGGAGATTGCTTTGCGGTGATCGAGCCCTTGGTGGAGCTCTAGATTAGGGCTGGTGTGTTAGCTAGTACCTGTTTGCTAGTAGGATTGTCACAGGATTGCCACCCTTCTCTTGTTTGGCTAGTAGGGATTTTCATCCCCCTCCAACGCCTAGTGAAATTTCCAGGCTGCGCCGGTGCCTAGCGAATCCTCCAGTTCCTGCCTCGACTGACCCTCCGGACCAACATTGAGCACGTCCGCGGAAATCACTGGGCTTCGGTGGAAAAACGGCTGCAGCAATTTCAGGAAGAGGACTGGGAGCTGCTTTTCGCAGAAACTTGTACCATCCCACCCTACTCTCAACCTAGCAGACACCAACCGGACCCTGAAGGCATGTGCTCCAGAGCCGAGGGCCTTGTCCAGAAGGCAAACCTGCCGAAGGCCCTAGTGGCGTTACAAGCCACCCCACTTGCAGAACAATTGCCTGCGACACTCGCGACGCTTCGTGCTAAACACCCAGACTCAGTGGTGGGCAAACCGGGATGGGTTACCGGATATAGTTCCTCGTCGCTGGCTATCGCGGCGGACAAGTTCCGCGAAGTATTAGCTAAGTGCCCGAACAGAATTGGTGCCGGACCATCTGGTACGTGCTTTGAACATCTGCGAGACCCCGCGCTTCTAAACGGGGAAGTTTTCACGCTCCTACATCAAGTTGTCAACACGTTGCTGAGCACCTACCTTAGCGATCCGCTGCAAGACCTGCTACTCCCGTCCAGACTCATAGCATTGGAGAAGGCAGGAGGAGGAGTTTGGCCGATAGCCATAGGAGAGTCGATCTTGAGAATAGCTGCGAAGGCAGTGCTGCGGAAGCTCTCAGCCGACATCCGGCGATTCTTTCTACCAGTGCAATTTGGCGTGGCGGTACCTGGTGGAGCAGAAACGATAGTACATGCTACACGGTCCCTCCTGTCTCGGCGCCCCAAGCGGATCGCCATACAACTGGATGTCGAAAACGCGTTCAACTCGGTCGAGCGGGAAAGCTTCTTCTCATCCCTCAAATGGACGACACTAGTTGATCTGCTGCCATTTGTCCGCACCCTGTATCGCGGCTACTCTTGGATGTAGGGTTCGAGGAGAGACACATTGATAGCGCAAGGGGCGTTCGGCAAGGAGACCCACTGGGACCGATGCTCTTCGCGGCGGCAATTCAACCAGCACTCCTGAAAGCGGCGGTGATGTGCCCTACAACGGTGGTGATGGCGTACGCTGACGACATCACCATCGTGGGGGACCCGGCAGAGGCGATTCGGGGAGTAGAGGTTATAATAGAGGGGCTTAAAAAATGTGGGTTATGGTGCAACCTGGAGAAATCAAGCGCATGGTGCCTAGCTGGGTTCTCAGACGAATTACCGGAGGGGCTTGTCGTAGCAATCGATGGCATCCGCGTGCTGGGGAGCTCGGTGGGCACTAGAGACTATGGGAGAAGATTCTTACGGGCAAGTCTGAGCGCGGTGGCATCACCACACGCACTCCTGAAACCAATCAGCAAACCGCACCCACAGCACACACTCCTGCTGCTCTCTCGCTGCGTGTCAAGGCGGATTTCGTACATGCTGAGAACTACCCCGGCTGACACACTGCCACTGGAGGAATGGAGGGATTGGAGCAAGGAGCTGATGTGGACGGCGTTGAAGGCGGCACGGATGTACGCCCCGGCGAGTGAACTGGAGCAGAGCCTGGTCTGGCGCCAAGCAACGCTACCGGTGTGCCTCGGGGGCCTGGGGCTGATAGCGTACCTGGCTTCCCTACACGCGGCGAACACCCTCCTCCGACACACGGCGATGGCGGCAGACAACCCCCTGCATCAGGTGACAGACTTGGTTTCGCCAATGGGGTGAGGTATGAAGGCAGCGGCAGGAGGGGCGACGCTGGAAGACCTCCGGAACCGGATACCAGAGCAAGCTCGGGAAGTCCTAAAGGCGCACCACCAGAAGGGGGAAATGAAGGGACATCTACAGCTGATCCTTTCAAAGCACATTAACCTGGACAGGGCGGCCGAGCTCGTGGGAGACACAAGGGCGGACAAGCCCGGAGTCGACAACGGTCACGTGATCCGACTCATCAGCTTGTAGGGAGTGGGGGCGGGAGACTGGTTGCACGCCATCCCATTCCCACAAGAGGTGACCTCACTTTCTCACCTGGCCAGTTTGCAGTGGCGCTCGGTTTTCGGCTGGGACTGCCCCTAGCAGTTACAGAAAAGTGCCCCTGCAAGGGGAAACGGTCGGACATCAGGGATAACAGCCTACCGAACCACCTGCTGCGGTGTGCCGACGGAGGAGATAGGACGAACACCCACAACGCCCTGGTGTATGCGGCACTGCGCATGGCTAAGGAAGCGGACTACACAACCTTGCACGAGTCGGCGGCCTTCTTGCCTATAACCAACCAAAAGCAAGCGGACCTGGTGATTCGCGACAAGGAGTCCATCGAGACCTACGTCACTGACGTGACGGTCACGGACCCTGTCCTGCAGCGGCGTGACAAAAGGGTAGTCAAGCCACCGGGGTGGGCGGCAGAGGATGCAGCCAGGGTGAAGCGGGGCCTGTATGAGGGTTGCCTGGGCTTTGTAGGGGTGTTCGGTTTGGCGGTGGAAACCTACGGGGCACTGGCTAAGGATACCCAACGGTTCTTCCGCCTCCTAGGCACCCAGGCTGCGAAGAAGAAACACAGGCAGGGTAGACTGGCTGCTGTGGCCTCCCGAATCACGGCGCATTACCGACAGCGGTGGTCGGTAATGCTCCAGCGCTGCCAAGCTAATGCCCTTATGGCCAAGTCCAACAGGGCACTTGAGGCAGCACACCTACAGGCAGCGGCAGACCCGTGGGAACCAAGCCTCGGGGACCTGTGGCAGGTCCTCGAGGACGACCTGGCCCAGCTTCTCGACCTGGGGGAGTAGAGGGCCAGGTCAACCCCTAGTGGCCCGCCCAACCGCAGGAGGCTCTGTTTGGCTGTGTAGGACAGGAGGGGATTGAGGCACCCTGTAGGAGGTTGAGTAGGTCTGCAGTGATGTAGCCATAAGGACATGTGTGGTGACTATGCAGTCAAGAACGGGAAGCTGGCCCAACACATGCCATGTTTGTGATTATGTTCATTATAAACTTGCATGCCTAGGCCAACATGCTTGCTAGGATTGCTGATGCCATGCCTGTACCTTATACACACATCAATGAAGGACTGCTTGAGAGAGAGAGAGAGAGAGAGAGAGAGAGAGAGAGAGAGAGAGAGAGAGAGAGAGAGAGGCATAGTCCTTTAGTCCCTTAGCCTCTCAGCCTCTCAGCTGCCCCTACCCCCGCTATATAAGGCCGTGAGCCTGGTGTGTGGCTCATTATTCAGTTCGTGGGTTCATTTCTTCTAACCCAGCAGAGAGAGAGCGAGAGCAACTATAACTCAAGACATACACACAATGGCAACACCTACATCTGCCTAGGACAACACACGGCAACAACATGGGGCAGGAAGAGGCGGACGCTACATCTGATCCGCATCAAGGACGGCGAGAAAACCCATCAGAGAGCGATGAAGCTCGCGCACCACCACTGTGGTTGCGTCGATCAAGTCTACTGCAGTCCCTGCGCGCAAAAAACGACGCAGACCATGGACTGCCATCCCAAGCTGTCCAACGCCCGCAACTCCACCCCGCGCGGGCGCAGCCAACACGGGCGCCAGGAGCTCGCCCAGCCGATCAGCGGCATCTAGGCACTCGTCCCGAGGGCCAATGTCCAGAGGAACACCCTGGGCGAGAGCCGCGTGACCATACACCTGAATCAGGTGAACAGCCCGCAGACCCTCAGAGAGGCGCCACAGCTGCCCCAGAGAAGCCTCCGGCACCACAGCGGAAGGAGAGGGCCCCACCAGCGACTGATGAGGTGGCGCAGCAGACGGCGGAGCAGGAGCGACGGGCAGCAGAGATGGATACTGACCCGTCACGGGTCCCCCTGCCACGGTCACAAACTCCATACCCGCCACTGGAGGAACCCACGGCAGGCGCATACGGTTCCCCAGAGCAGCAGCAGATGCAGAGGGGGCATGAGGAGGAGGAACGGCCGATTGGGGAAGAGGAGGCGCCGGCGCATATGGCGCAGCTGGAGGAAGGGACGCATGCGTTGGAGCGACGTGAGGCAAATTGCTCTGGCTTGCCTGCCCGTTCCGCTCCTCGCGCACCGCAGCAGAAACAGCTCGCTGCAGATCGGCCATCGACACCGGCCGATCATACCCCCAGTCACCACCACGACCGCGCCCTCCCCACCAGCCACCGCGACCACCGCGTGAGGCAGCCCAGTTTGCCTGGGAACCACGGCGCCGAGGAGAGTTGTGTCGCCGCCGCGACCTCTCCTGCTCGTCACGAGGTGCAGGGGAGTGTGGCCGATGCTGCCGGCTACACGGAGACGGCGGACGCTGAGCAGGTGGGGCAGCAGCAAGCGGCGCAGGATCAGGAACCGCCAGGACGTTTGGGGCCTGCACGTGCGGCGGCGCAGGTGGAGGGGCGGGAGCAACAGAGACCGCTACCTGGCCCGGGCCGTCAGTGGTGGCAGACACCACTGGTTGCGATGCCATGACGCCAGCAGGGGCAGCTGCAACCATCGGGGCGTCAAGAACGGGGGCATCTGGTGGAGCAGGATCAGCAGCGGCAGTCAGTGCCGCAGAGTTCACGGGGATAGGCGGCGCAACAGCAGGAGCAGAGAGTGCAGGAGGGTCAAGAGCAGCCTACGCCTCACACGATACGAGGCCCGGAACCAGAGGCGCAAGGCATCCAGCGGCCAAGGGGGCTGGCTTTGGGGCAGGTGGGACTGGCGGCTTCATTACAGCACTCCCCGAGGCAGACACCGGCGGCGACTTTCCGCTCGCCGTTGACGCAGCGGCAGCGGGCTTTGGCGATGGCCACAACTCGCCAGCAATCACCATCGCGAGGAGGGAGGAGATAAGGAGCAGGACGTCGGGAAGGGGGGAGAGTTGAAGGCGGACCGGAGAATGCGTTCCAGGCGGCGGCAAGAAGGGCTTTAACACGGCTAGACGAGAATGATGATCCGGAGGAGCGAAACGACCCCTCTTATAGGGAGGAGGCACAAGCCCCGAGCAGCAGCAGTGAGGGGGAAAACAAGGAGGAGAGAGAGCACTTGACGAGAGGAAGGGGAGGAAGCCAGAGAGGAATGACAGTACAGTCAGGAAACACACGGGGCCCACATGATGCCGATCGAACGGCCACGATTCCAACCTCGCCTATTACTCGTGCTACAGGTCGCGGACGTGGAAATCGGGCCGCGAGGGGTCAGGCGAGGGCGACTTGCCAGCCTAAGAACCCCCGCTATTTTTTGCTAGAGGAACTGGCGAGGCAGGCTGACAAATTTGCCGAAGTGGCAGAATGGGACATTACACCTCTCTGCGATAGTCGCCAACCCACGCTGTTACGACGGCTACCGCCAAAACTGTGCGAGATATTCTCGCTCGTGGTCCAGACACCACTTCTGCACCTCTCGGGAACCCCTGACTCCATCGCATGATGGAAGTTACTCCTATTTCTCCCTCGCCTCACACTGCGACAAGCTTCGCCAAGGCGCCCTGATTGGCCGAAAATCAAAGCACGTCTCCGAGCATTTCAACGCGGCGAGTGGCAACAGCTGTACATGGACGCGGTGGAAGCAGTCAACACACCACCTCCGCCACGTCACCAGCCTGACGACGTAGGAACCATCAACAGAGCGGAGGGCCTGGCAAAAAAAGGGAGCCTGCGCCGAGCCGTGATGGCGCTCGAGTCAACGCCGGTCTGCACGCCCAGTCCAGAAATCCTGGACAAACTCCGACGCAAGCACCCACCAGCTGACCCTGACCTCTTGGTCTGGCCAGTCAACGCCGACCAACCAGACCTCGAGATCGCATACGCGGAATTTTTGAAATTGCTCAGCCGATGCGAGTTCGGAGTGCGGGCTGGCCTGAGTGGAATGACTTTTGAACACCTACGCGACGCGTCAGTAACAAATGCATCCGTCTCCACCCATCTACATGCCTTGGTGAATACCATTCTAAAAGGAAAAATGCCGCAACCAGTGGCGGATTTACTCACATCCTCCTTCCTGATTGCCCTGGCCAAACCTGAAGGAGGGGTTCGCCCAATCGCAATCGGCGAATGTCTGACCCGCCTGGCGGCAAAGGCCGCACTGTCAACTCTCGGCGAGGCGGCGCGCGGCTATTTTCTTCCGCTGCAGTACGGTGTCGTTGTGCCAGGGGGAGTGGAGGCAATCATTCACAGCGCACATGCATACACTGACAATCACCCCAAGTGCCTCATTCTGCAAACTGACATCTCCAACGCCTTCAGCAGCATTTCACGACAAGCCATAGTGATAGCATTACAGGACCCGGCCCTATCACCTCTACTCCCGTTAGTGAAACTAACTTACGACGACCCATCCTTACTGTATCTGGACGCGAACTTCAACAGCTCGCCTATACTCAGCGAGTGTGGGGTCCGGCAGGGCGATTCCTTAGGACCGCTTCTTTTTGCGGCTGGGATCCACCCTGCATTAAGAGCAACAGCAACACCACACCCCGGCGTGCTGTGCATGGCATACGCCGACGACGGGACCTTTTTGGGTGAACCACAGGATGCTGTCGCAGCGTTCTCCCATTTTACCAGTCAGCTGGCCCAAGTGGGTTTGCGACACAACCCTGAGAAATGTGCCGCATGGAGCAGACAGCCGCTTGATAGTACAGTACGGCTGCCACCGGGAGTCCCTACAAGTGAAGCGGGCGTTAAACTTCTAGGCAGTTTCCTAGGCACACTTGAAGGCGCTGCCGCCTTCCTAGTAGCCCAGCTACAAGACATGACGAGGCCGCTGCCTTTGATCGAGCGCCTAGACCCGCAGATAGCTTCCCTCCTCCTCACACGCTGCATCTCCCATCGTGTAGGATACCTCATACGAACGACCCCGCTACATCTCCTGAACCACGACACCTGGTCCCAGTGGGGTAGGGACCTCTTAGCCACGCTCTTCACAGCATGTGGCATTCGTTTCCCAACGGACAGCACAGAACAGAGTCGGGTTTGGGAACAGTCTTCACTCCCAGCGTCACTAGGCGGTATTGGACTAACGGACCCCACGGTGGAAGGCCGTTTTGGCTACCTGGCTAGTTTTACACAGTCTAGCCTCTTCCTAAGCTCATTACCGCTAGAAACAGAGGAGGCCCTGATGGCGGCCCGAGACCACATGCTCCTATCTCGAGATACCACAACTGCCTTACACCAGTGGTTGGGGGAATGCGAGACGTCGCTGCCACAAGAAGCTAGAGACATACTCGACATGGAGAGGCTAGAGCCAAAGGGGCTGAAACTACAGCACGAGCTTGGAGTGAGGGTGCAGGGGAGTAGATATGCCACGCAAGTGCAGGCTACACGACACATGAGTCTCAACCCACTGTCAGGCCACACCCAACGGTTTTTCTCCTTGACAGGCTACGGCACGGGGGATTGGCTAACCGCTATCCCAATAGAACCAACCCGTCGTGTAGGCCCTCCTCACTTCGCAAACGCAGTTCGCTTCAGGCTAGGCCTCCCCTTCTCTACACCCGCGAAGTGTGACTACTCTAAGAACATAGCAATCACTGACCCACGGCTGCCGAATCACCTTTTCCGCTGTGGGACAGGCAAGCACAGGATTAATACTCACAATGAACTCCGTGGCGCTTGCATCTCGATGGCAGAGGACGCCGGCTTCATAGTCCACGGAGAATCCGCAGCCTACTGCCCAGTTGAAGAGCAAACTGCAGGCCTGACACTGCGTGATAGGAGCTCGGGCGCGGTGTACATCTGTGATGTCACCATCACAGACCCGATCAGCACCAGGGACCCACTTGCCATAAAGGGGAGGGGATGGGCGGCGAGGGAGCAGGCCAACAAGAAAATCAGCCATTATGCCAGCCGCCCTGACATGGTTACCTTCTTCCCCTTGGCAGTTGAGACATACGGGTGCCCGTGTGCCGAGGTCCCACAGTTCTTGAAGCTCTTGGCGGAAACAGCTGCTAGGCGACACTTCAACGCCCAACCATACTTATTCCATGCAGCCCGGTTCCTTCACCTCTTCAGGCAGCGGTGGTCCTGTGCTCTGCAAAGAGCACAGTCAGTGGGTTACCTTATTAAGTCCAGTCAGGCGGCTGTCTAGCAAGAACAACACCTTCGGGTATGGACACTCCGCCATGGGGAAGGCCAAACCCAAGCCGAAAATGAAGCAGGCGGGCAAAGGGAAAGCGACATCTACTCAGCCGAAATCCACACCAGCCGCCCGTCTATCCAACGTAGCACTGATGCGGCAGCTGGTATCAGGTCCAGCGGCGACTGGCGAGCAGCGGAAATTAACCGTCGCAATGCAGTTGGGCCAGGGCTTCGGGCAATCCCAGGCTCCCATCTCAAGCCCAACGTGCGGGAGAGACTATATCATCTCGTTCGCGGTGGCAACAGCAAGCTCTTGCTCGGACTTTGGCAGCACCGGGCACTCCATACCATGGCACCTCAGGTAGGCGTGCAGGTGATCCAGGACCGTGGCCAGATGATCCAGGCACAACCCCACGGTCGTTACGCGCCGCTCGACGCAGAATAGCCTATCCACCGGTGGGTTCTCAACCCATAGACTCCACCGTCCATCAGGGGATGGCGCAGGCACAGAAACAATAGTCGGAGCCCACTGCCCTAGTGCCTCCCACGGGATTGGGATCTGCCTCCCTCCCAGGAAAAGCTGTGGATATTCCGTCATAGGAAGCGACGACATGGCAGGAGGAGCAGGTGGAGGAGGATGCTTCGGAGACTGTGGCGGGGCCGACACTGTTGAGGAGGTGGCTGCGTTGTTGCAAGAGGAGGTGGTGGTGGCCCAGACCCAACATGAGACGACAGAGACAATGGCGCCGGCTGCAATGGCGGCGACCGGGGATTTGGAGGAGGCGGAGGAGGCTAAGACGATTGTGGCACCTGCTGCCTCTGCGGTACAACATGGGGACCGGGATGTGGCGGAAGACTCGACTGGTGGTGCGTGCGCCGAAACGCTTGCTGCTACCAAGGCCGTAAAATTGCAGGAGCACGCCTAGGCGGAGGGTGGTACACCAGTTCCTGGGAACCGCGACGACGCTCACGCCGCCCGCGAGAAAGCTGTAAGGCTCCGCGCCCGACCAGCACCGCGACGGCTTGGAGCAACGCTGGCGCCTGGTCGTTTGGGACCCCTCCTGGGCTGGCTTCTGCAAGCGCCGTCGCCATGAGGGTGAGAGCATCTGCCAACATCTGCAGTGAACGATGGGCCCCCCGGGGAAGAGGACTGTCAGGAACAGCCAACATCAGCCCAAGCACAACTGACTGTGCCACCGATGGGACCAAACACCACCGAGCAACACACCACTCACCGGGAAGCACGGAGCACGGCTCGGGGACAAGGTATTATCTGGGGCAGACCGACAAGCGCAAAATCAGCGGCACCACAAATCCTCTGGGTCCCGGAGGGCCGTGGATCGTGGACAGCACCAGGCGGATCTAGAGGTGGAGGTGGCGGGAACCGCGGACGAACGGGCGAGAGGAGAAGCGCCGGCCCGGGGCAAGCTGCGATGCTCGGGGGAGAGGCGGCGGTGGTGAGATCTGGCACGTGGCAGGAATGCCACAATCGCCCAGAGAAAACGACTACACCAGCGAATGGGATCGCATAAGGGTCTGACAACTGCAACGAGGGGAGTGACTTTATCCCTTCCCGTTCACAAACTCCAGAGGATGACGAGCAAGAGGGCGAATGGATGATCAGAAAGGAAATGAGCGCCAAGAGAGGGGGAGGAATCATGGACCAGGGAGTCCCAACAACCCTGTAACAGATGTGGCGGGAGCTCCAATAGCTACACCCAGCGAAAAAGTCGCCAGCTGATTTGGCGAACAATGACACCATATGGGACATGGCCAGCGGTTGGGATTTATTGCCACTTCAGAAGATGGAT